TGATGCAAAACTTAAGTCTGGCCCTTCGGCGTGAGTCCTTGACGAATGTACATGAGTTTCGCTGCCTCAAGCGGTAAACCAATGCACATCGATTGGTATGTTCGATATGAAGTGAATGGTATAAGACAAGAAAATCGCAAGATACCGCCCTGGGGCGTTGTTAGCTACACCGCGCACCCGAGGGACGAGTTGTCGTGCCCGGCTGTTTGAATCTGAAAGTAACAGGAGGGATCGATAATGAAGTTCCGGCTACGGTTGTATTCACGAGGGTTTCGCTGATGCAACTGACTAACTTATGCACATCGAGAAACCGTCGCGCACCTCCGCATGATGCGCCGCGCACGACGCTGCGGCAGATTACGACGATTGTCTTGTCCAACTTTTGGGATACTCTCTGCACTGCGATCTAGCTACCTGTTGTGCGTTGAAGAACGCACCTCTCTCTGACTGCCACTAATGACATCCCTGACTGCCATTTTTGTCGTTTGATATACCCAAGTGGTGCATGTGGCGCCACTCGCAGAACGTACAGTTCGAGGAGTCAACACTCGCATCGACCCCAGCAGGCCAAACGAGCTTTCCGTCCCACTGGGATATGAGAATGACGCCAGACTTGTCAGCAAGGGTGAAACGCTAATCTGAACGCTGACTAGGTTCCGCGATTCATTGGAAAGCGCCGAGAACAAACCAGAGCATCTCAATCCGTTCGGGAATGCCTTGTGAATCAAATATGAAACTTACTGCGCTTGTTCCACCAGCACTCGCTAACCGTCGCAGTGGATGTAGCACTGAAACATTTCATGGCGCTTTTGTGGCTACCCATAGAAGACAGAAAGCACTCACGGCTCTGATATAATCCTAGGAAACGAAGTCTAGCTGGCAGCATAGCCGCTCACGTTGAAATGAAACTTCCTCCAAGTTTCTTCGTTATCTTTCATGACTCGATACCGATCAAATCAATTAATTTGGCCAAGTGAACATAAGTTTTCAGCGTGCTCACGTTAAGAATGGAACTTTAGAGCGGCTCACGAAGTGTGAATGGTTTCAAGGACCTGCGCCTCCTTAAGGGCCTTTGATGTCATTTCTGCGCTACATGGAAACTGTGCCAAATCAAAGTTTTCCTGGGCTCCTGCGTGTGGAAGGCAATTAGGTACTAGCAAACAGCGTTAGCTGCGATTCGGTAGTACTTCTCGATGCACTTTCGAGATCAAGACTGTGTAGGATGGTCCCAAAGCTATTTTCTGGTGGTTGTGGGTGTTTTGTTTCTGAACTTTCTCTCTGCAGGCTGCACCCCTGCAGAAGTCGTGTTCCTTTCTTTCATCTTGGCTCATGTGAGGTATCCAGGGTGCGGCAACACGTGCTCAAGAAAAGGGAGCAAGATGTTTCATTGGGACCACTGAAATGGTTGTGTAGAGGTCCTCCCGCTCTCAACTACCCTCATCCAATTCGGCGCACTCCCCCATTCTATGTTCCTAATATCTATAACCTTAATATGACCTTTCTTCCGGGAATTAGTCTCCAACCGAAGGGGGGGGGAGAGGACAGCGGGAAAGGCTTTAGCTTGAAAGCTTAGCTCAAAAGTTCGGGTTGGCCACTCATTCCGTGTTGTGTATCCTCAGACCTTCAACCAGGGCACATCGTTGTTGGAGATTCCCAACAGGGGGGGGGCGTCGTTTTTGGTCGCTGGGCGAGGGGGGTCGTATTTGGGCACAGAACGCCTTCTTGACAGATAATTTTTCTTGTTAGAGACGCCGTAAGGGGGAGGGACGTATTTGGTGGCTGGGAGAGTGGGAGTCGTATTTAGGCTGAGAAAGACTTTTTTGGTAGTTGATTTTTCCTTGCTTCTGAGACGCTGTAGAGGGGGGAGGGTCGTAATTCCCTTCTGGCTTTCTAAGGGAGGTTGCTGACTTTTCGTAGTATTTCCTGCTTCGGGTGTAATATATATCCACCTTCCCCCCCCCGCCCCTTATCGAGGGCTCGATGACGAGGGAACCAGGGGAGGTCGTACCAACCCCCTAAAAAAGAGGGTGATACGGACTCGAAAAAAATCTACAGCCAGTGATGTGCCCCCTGCCTTCAACGACTGACGTACCATTAAAAGACCTCGAGGTCTCATCGCTGTCATAGAGTGCAGCTTCTTTTACTTTTCACCAAGTTATATAATAGCTGATATCGTCGCAATTAGAAGGTGGGGGGGTGTCAGGGCGCTCAAAATGAGCCCTCCCTCTTCTTCCTACCATTAGTGATTGCTCAGTGATCGATTGAGGAAGAGTTGAGCTAGTGATGAAAACGCTGCAGATGAATTCGTTCCAGTCCTCCCGACACCAACGCGGGCTGATTGTGACGATCAATGTAAGCGCTATTTCATCTTATGCATCAATACCTCGAATCCTTGAGTATAAAATATTAGACGTCCTCGCATTCGCCCAGCATCACTAAGGCACGTGGCATGTTGCTTTGCGTTTTATGGATCAATGATAGTGTCCATTCCAAGAATCGGAGCTGTCCGTAATACATATATTTATATTAAGCATCGTGCTGACGGGGTGGAGGAGGCGGCGGATATGACAGTGTGTAGGTGGCAGCGCTAAAGCCCTCATGTCCCTGACGGATGTGTAGCTGCAGTGCGATGGCGTAGGATGAGAACTCTAGGATATTTGACCTAGAACGGCATTTGTTTCGCGTCGGACAGAAACATGACCAAATGTTCAGAAGAAGGTGCCTCACCCAAAGCACAGTCACCATCGATGTCTCATTAACATGCGCAGGCCTGCCTACGCACTCAAAGATTGTGAGAGTATGCACAGTAATCAAACTTCCGCAAACGATAGTGCTCACGAGGTGGACTGATGCCAAGGCGGCACTTCCCATCAATGATGCAGCCGCGACAACTTGAACTTAATCCCTTTGAATACCTCTTCTGTTCTTCTTTGCGTTCTCTCGTCCGTATGACATTCCATGGCCGCTGTGAACTCACTATTCCAGCTCTTACGAATGATAAGTGGCTCACGCACTCCGGAGTCATTTTCCCTTGAACAAGCCCTTGATGTCTTTCCTCGCCGATTTCTAGCTCATTGCCGGTCTTGGACAGCCGTCTGTCTCTCGTGCATTTGCATTTGATTTGCATTGAGGGCTTGGCACAGGAAAGCTAGGAGTTATGTAACTATGCCTCCTGAGTCCGCAAGTGTTGGGATCGGAACTACAGCACGCTCTATCCATTCGCAGGGACGCATCACATTGCTAAAGCCATGTCCGGACAGTTCGGCGACGGGGAGGAGGGGGAGGGCATTCTGCACTATTGCTACTTCCCGTCGACGTGCCGACTGATCTAGACAACCTTAACTCGAGTTGACAGGTTTCACTAAGATGGCTTGATGAGCTTGCTCAGCTTCTCAAGGAATCTCAGGATTCATCGGAGAGAGAGAGAGACTTGTAAACTGGAATTAGTGAAGCAACGATAGTGCAAAATGCTTCCCATCACCCCGTCGTCGAACTGCGCCCTATTATCCTTGCTAACTATAGCGCGTGTATAGCTATTTTCCACCAGTCGATGCTATTCTGGGGCCCACGACAATCGGTGGAAAAGGCTGCTCTGGATGAGCTCCAATCCACTCTTCTTCACATTCCTTGCAGGCACCAATGCTGTAAATGCCGTTTAGGCAGAAATGCTCCCTTCTATATCGTTGCCTACTAAAGAGCGTTTCT